TAGTGGATTGCAAATTTCCTAATCAATGTCAATTTTTAGCTTCATTTCAAGGCATGCGATATCATCTATATGATTTTATAGGTTATGGTAACGATCCTCGAAATACAGTCTTCGTCATGCGTCCCTGAGAGACATGATTGAGAGGATATTGACATTTTTCAATTATAGTTCACAAATTTTAAATCGGTTCCTCTGTTTTCATTTAAAACACAAGCAAATCTTGTGTTAGCTGCAACACTACACAAATTTCTTCACAAAGATGCTGTTTTGATGCAGTTCCAATTGAACCAATAGACGAATCTTAATTTTCTGTATCACTTGTTAATGAAGAAGATAACTTTGAACCTATTGTTCAAATCCAAGAGGAGGAACTAGAAGATGCTAATGTGTGGAGGATTAGAATAACTTTTGGTATATGGAGAAATGCTACTTAGAGGACATGGAGTAACAAATTTTATACTATCAGATTTAGAAAATCGTATTAGATTTTATTTTTTATTAATATCATTAAATTTCTTTATTATCTTTTCTATTGACTTTTATAAATTTGAATATTTGCTGAAATTCTATATGGTTTTTTAAAATTTTATAAATTTATATTGGGAAAAATATTTCTACAATTGCTGTAGAAGTTTTTATTTGACACACACTTTGTATTCCCCGAAGTACATAAGCAAATTTTTTGACCCAAACTGTATTGCAGGGGATGTACTCCTTTTTTTTGTGAGGGCGGCAGACAAATTTTTTGCGGTAACTGTAGAAAAATTAAACCCATTTATATTATCTTTTCAAATATTATAAATTCTAGTAATAAATCTTTTTAAATTAATTTTCATAAAATTTAATTATAATAAAACCTTTTAAAAAATTATTTAAAATCATTATATTTCTAGGGCTTGGTGTTTGTCATTTTAAATGACATAAGTTATGTCATTTTAGGAAAGAGATAGAGACAGAAAACGAAAATCATGGGAGATAGAAAGTGGGTGGTTTTTTTTAATTTAAAATTTTAAGTAAAAAAATTTATTCTGTGTCTATCTCTCTCTTAAAATGACATAACTTTATGTCGTTTAAAATGACAAACACTCTCCCCTCTTTCTAAATAATCTTTTAAGTTTTACAGAACTTTTTAATCCAAAAATAATTTTTTTTTTTAAATCTTAGTTCAATAATTGTAAAATCTTCCCGCCCCATTTATTTACGTTACAAAATTATTGCTCGTATTGCACGCATTCATTGTGGTTACATTTTGTTGAGAGTGACGAGCAAAAAGATCTACGAAATCATTTTAAGATCTTTTAACATCATCATATTATTTTATAACCATTGATTTTAGTTGTTTGAAACTGTCATTGTTTTGTTGGTTCATCAGCCTCCATCACCTATGGATCACGAGTTTTATTTTCAATTGCATTTTTTCTAACTTTCTCCACAGATAAGACGTTACAAGGCTGGCCTTACAAATCGTGGTGTCTTATGTCATGTGGAGCAACGCGCAAACATTTTTTTTCTTCTTTTTTTCCTCTGACGAAGACGATAAGTTGTCATTACTTAAAAATAAGAGGATTACAAAGATCTCATAATAAAAGACCAAAACCCAATAACGAGGAAAAGCAATTAAGGATGGAAAACCAGACTCACCAATTGGACGATGCAATATTGAATTCTTAAGTAGGATTTGATGGATGCATTAAAATAGAACGGAGCATAACATATGGGTTTTATTTTACATTTAATAGAATTAAACAAAATCAGAATAGTACATAAGATTAAAAAGTAGAGGAAATTATACTTATTGTTGTACAACATGAATTTTATATATGGATGACTATTGAATTTTTATTTCTTTTTGGATAACTGACTATTGAAATTTTAAAAGGTTTATGTTATGACTTTTTATTTGCCAATAACTTTTGATACGAAATGTAATCATAATACATAATGGTGTATCGATATGTAATATCATCTATTTATTCTTGGAATCTTATACACAGATATATGTTCTATGAAAAATAAAAAATAAGGGTGGGTGATGTTCTCCTAGATATTTTTTAAGAGTTCATGCTTTTATCTTATTTATATTTCCTCCCTTCATTTCGTACTTTTTCTCTTAGTTTTATAATATTTATCCTCTCTTATAATTAATTTTGTTATTGTTGGATCAAAATTAAAACAATAATTATAAAATGACATCAAATGCAAGTCATTGATTTGATTTTAATCTAATCATATCAAAGTAATTGTAAGAGATGGTAAGAAAATAACCTATCTGTAACCCAAAAAAAAAAAAAAAAAAAACTATCTCAAATATATTTTAATTTGAGGTGGAATAAAAGAAAACATAAGATAACATTATGTTCCTTTCCAATCTATTTGTGCACCAAATGCTACCTATAATCTATTGGGCATGAGTGCGTGACCGCGTGAGGGTCTGAAATAAGAAATATATTTTAGGGGATAAAATACGGAGGTATAATTGTTATTGAAAAATTAATTATAAATTTATGATAAAAAAAACACTTATATACTAAGGGTTTGTTTTTTCCATGTTGCATGAGAAAATAAATCTTTTCTACACACATCATAAAAAGATATGCCACTTTTTTATTTTTTTTAAATAGGTGGGTCTCACACTTGATGTATCTATGACATGAGATTAGGGTTTTTCTTCAACATAAGATTTATTTTTCCTATATAATATATAATTAAAAAAGAGAAGAGTTATATTGACAAACTTTTTTTTACAAATTTACAAACTACACTATATCTTATCGGTAAAACTTAACTCAAGAGTGTCTTACTGATAAGACATAATGTAATTTGTAAGAAATCATAAACAAAAAATTTGTAAATATAACCTTCATTTATAATAAATTAATAAAATTATTAAAAGAGTAAAATACTTTTTAGGTCCCCAACAAATATTAGGAGCTCAATTTAATTTATTAAGGAAAAAAAGGATGATTTGTGTCCCTTTAAAATTTAAAATAGACTCATTTAGTTCTTTTAAGGGTCTAACATGAATTTTCTTTGAATTTAAGAGAAATCACCAATCGCTTTTTTCTCTAAAATTAAAATAGACTCTATAATTTTTGCTGAGGATCCAAAAGTTACTATACTCTTATTAAAATTTAGTCAAACAATTTTTAATTAATGATTATAATTTTATATTTTGTCTTCTAAAATAAATCCTTTATCGGTTACGTACAAAAGTTGTTTGTTATGCATTCGTCGTTTGACATAAAAGTTGTACGCAACAGGGTTTGTACGACTGCTACCTTCATGCCGTTTCTGGTCGTGTTATGCGGTTAGAAAAAAATATGTATCATTTTAAAAGATGTAAAGTCATGTTATTTTAAGAATAAGAAAGTGATAAATAAGGAAGAAGAGAGAGTTGACAAAAAAAAAATAAAAATATGAATCTTGCCTCTTTACAAGAGTGAAAAAATATAAATCATGTCATTTAAATGAATAAACATTTTCCCTGACTCTTGTGCCATAAATCCCTACATATCGGTGACGTGCTAAGATGCCGAGTGACAATGAAAGGATATTGGATATTCCTCCACGTAACTCTGGGGATTTGACTTTGTTCTCTTTCCAATTTCTAAGTTGTGCTAATACTATGTATTTAGTTATGGGCAATGTTTTTCTTATGCTACATGAGATAGTATTATCTCATGTAGAGACATAATTAGGTGGGTCTTACGGTTAAAAGAAAAGAAAAAAAAAAAGAAATGTTGGCTCGGAATGCGATGTGTCTGTGACATGAGATAAAATTTTTTATGTAACTTGAGGAAAATATTTCTCATTTAGTTATTTACATATGACAATAATCAATGTGTTGTTACGTTGTCTCTTCTAATGTTCACATTCAGGTTGCGTTCCGTAACAGATTAGTTACTATTATATGTGAGGTAATCTTGTAAATTGAATGGATGATATACCCTCTCCAAAATCCAAATAGATCCAATCTTCTGTTATCATAGAAATTTATGATAAAAATAATAATTGTATTGTTATGATCTATTCATTCGATTTCACTTTCTACGATATCTAAGCATAATATTTCAGATTATTTAATATCCTGCATTCCCCGAATGGCAAAGTAAACTAAAACATTAGTGCTAAACAACAAATTCACAAATGACCAGGAGATGACTTTATTAATTATCCTTATTGAGATAAGACTTTTCTGATTTCTTGTTGTTAGCATATCTCTCTTATATTAATCTTAATATATTAATTACACTTTAAAATATGATTTCTCTTATTAATAAAAACTTGTTGAAAACAATATTTAAATGGAAAATCGGATTAAATTCAATATATATATATATAAACCTGTCGCAAACAGCCAGTAATGTCCCCTAATTTTCACATTTAGTATTTTATGCTGATTCAACCTTCGTTGAATTTCATTTCTTATATATTAGCTAGTTGTATTTTATTCTGTACCCCCCCCCCCCCCCCCCACATTCTCCCTCTCTCATTTTCACTATTGTGGAGGTGATAAAAAAAATGTAAATGGATATGGATTGTGCTAATTATTTATATAAATAATAGTATAGTAATTTCATTTCATTTCATAATTTTATATTTCAGAACCTATTTCGTGTAGAAAAGGCTATTTATTTTAATAATAAATAACAGCAATCGAGATTCGAGTCACATCATCAACAGCAGAGGGGCAAAACAATAAAAAAGAAAACATGATTCTTGCACTTGGCCTCTGTTTTGGCACTCTATTTAGGTGTCTGATAATGCCATCTAATTGTAGCTCCCAACAACACAAACACTCACACTGTGATTGTGAGTACCACTAATGGAGAAAAAAACATAGTCATTGCAAATAAATCATCACACATGATAACGTGACAAATTCCATTCAATTAGTCCTCCTTTCCTTTCTCACACCCTTTTCTTGCAATCTAAGCCTTTTCTTTTTCTTTCTCTCTCTTTTGGAGAAAAATAAAAAATGAAAAAAAGATTCTAGAAATTTATACCCGTGAAGACAAACTCGGAGGACCGCTTGAGAAGTGAGAACATAAGAGGAAAGATGAGCTCTGTTTGCATATCCAACTGCATCAACGATGCACGTGACCCACGTGTTCCGGTGAGGGCAACGTACGTCAACCTCTACAAGTGGCCGGAATCAGACGCTGAGTTTGTGAGGTCAGTGAGTTCCAATGGACGAAAGGGTTCGCAAACGTACGGACACCCCAGGGTTGTGGACAGCATCTCCTGCAGGCAATTGTATTTGAGAAGCTACACATTTTCCAGAGAAGAAGAAAAAGTGCCAAAGAATGCCCAGAAATGTTTTGGGAGGGTGAAGATGAAGGTGAAGGAACCTGAAGCTCATGCGAAGAAGAACAAGACAAAGTGTTTGGTTTGGAGGAAAGCTAAGGAAATCTCGTGCTCTGCTTTGTTTCGGATTTTCCATAGGTTGTTGTCCTGCTCAGCTAGTGTGGATGTCGTGGACGACAAAGATTGACTTTTAATTATCAGGTTTGAACTTCGAAATGCGAATTTGTTTCTTTTTTCTATTTATGATCGAGAGAGAATAGTTTTATTCTTGTTATAACTATCACTTTGGGTTTCTTTTAATCACTTTTGTTTAAGAATGTGTGAAATTTGAATATACGTAAGGGCTGCACAGGATGATAATTCTTGTACACAAGGTGTCCAAGTTGTAAAATATTTGTGCCTTGCAGAAAAAAAAGTTTAAACGGGTTTAGTTAAACTATGCACCAAATTAATACTCCGTTTGTCTTAATCGTATATATGGAGACTTATTGGTGGAAGAAGTTAACTTCAGGTGTAGAAATAGTCAACTTCGTTTGCAGGTTTATTAGTGGGAAAATGTAGGTTTATTGCATGACATTCGGGCTAATTTGATTATAATCAAGCCAGTTTCTTTTGGGTTTGTTACCTGTGCGCATAATTCTCATATCGATCATTATAACGTGTATCGAATCTTTTTCTTTTTAACAAATAGAAGCGTAATATATAATATACCATAAGATATTTTAATACTGTAAAGTACCTTGGGATACACCACCCCAAAAGCTAGCTCAAAGGGTGGGAGTGCCCAAGGCCTTATAAACTCCACATTAGTTGCACATACAACCAATGTGGGATACTATATATCTCAACACGTCCCCTCACACGAGAGCTCATTGGGCTTGGAGAATGGACAATGCAACAGGCCCAGCCTACCTGTGCAAAGAAACGCCACAAGAGAAAGTGGAGGGCGGCGAGTTTTGAACCCGGGACACAAGGCTTTGATACCATGTAAAGTACCTTGGGATACACCACTTCAAAAGCTAGCTCAAGGGGTGGGAGTGCTCAAGGCCTTATAAAGGCCATATTAGTTGTCCATCCAATCAATGTGGGACTATATATCTCAACACGCCCCCTCACGCAAGAGCCCTTTAGACTAGAAGCGTGGAAATTGCACAGGCCCATTTTTGGTTTACCTTTTTGTGCTTTTTTTTTTTTTTTAATTCCACTTTTTTAAAGCGGGAGACGGTGAGGCTCTGATACCATGTAAAGAACCTTGGATACACCACCCCAATCTAACTGTAAGTAATTTTATATTTATAGTACCATAATAAATTTAACTGTAAGTAATTTTAAATTCTAATCTTTGGATTGCGTAGTTGATATTTACAAAAAAATTACGTTCATTAGTATAACAAAATAAACTGTAAAAAGCTTTTACCTTTTCATGGTTCTCGCCCTGCTACACATTCATGTGGGTTTAGAGACCACCGGTTTTCAGTTCTTTCAAGTGTCAAACAAAAAGTATTTTAATAACTAACCAATTGAAAAAAAAAAAAAAACTTTACAAAGAGAGTCTTCTAGAGTTAGTGCAGAGCCTTAACTTGTTGAAGAGGTTACCCCTGTTTTGCGAACAACTAAAGAATTCTCAACAAAACAAAAGTCTCTGAATTGTAAAAGCGCAGAATTTTTGTGACGTAGAAAAACCCCAGTTCATCATATTAGTTCTCCCTTTTGTTCTTTTGTTCTTTTTCTTTCTCTTTTTTCCCTTTACTTTAGGCATCCAAATATGACCGACATGTATTTAGATGAAGGAATAAGGAGAAAAATGAAGAGAACGAATTCTCTTTTTGAATGTTTTGTTTGAGCCTTTTATAAAATGAGAGAAAGAAAATAAAGGATTATTCTTCTACGACTTTTCCTTTATTTATTTATATGAACATTTCAAAGTTTTAATTTTAAAGGATTTTATAAAATTTAACCATATAAATGAACAGAAATAAACTCATTATTTGATCTCTCTTCATTTCTTTCTCGTTTTATATATGAGTTTTATTTATTTCATGATGTTGCATAATTGTAACTGACCCAACAATATTTATGTCTCATTTTTTTTTTTTTACAAATAACGGACCCTACAATAATTGTCTTTATAATATAAGATAAAAATTTTGCAACAACATAAACACAAATAAAGTCATATATATATATATATATATATATATATATATATATATATATATATATATATATATATAGGGTTTAATAAGAGTTATGTTGTAGGAAAAGTGATTGTGTTATGTTATAGAGATTCGTTTTGCGTGCCATAGTTTTTTTTTTTTTTTTTGGTTTCAAAAATTGTGGGTCCCACAAAATGTTGTGTGTGTAGGAAAGTTGTTGTGGTCATGTTAAATTATAGATACAAAACCCATATATATATATATATATATATGGAAGGATCCGTTTAAAATTTTTTTTACAAATTTTTGTAAATTACACTATGTACTCCAGGAAGTACATAGAGTAATTAGTGTACTTCTGCAAGTACATTGTTTAGTTTGTAAACAAAAGTTTATAAATATAACACTTCCTTATATATATATATATATATATATATATATATATATATATATATATGAGTAAACACCCTTTTTGGTCCCTGGCAATATCTACAAAATCCTTTTTAGTCCCTGACAATAAAAAAGGACCAAATTGGTCCCTAAAATTATAAAAAAAGGGCCACATTAGTCCTTATGTCAACTCCTTCGTCACTAACGTGGCCCTTTTTGCATACTATTAGGGACCAATTTGATCCTTTTTTATTGTCAGAGACTAAAAAGGATTTCGTAGATATTGTCAGGGACCAAAAAGAGTGTTTACTCTATATATATATATATATATATATATATATATATATATATATATATATATGAGGTAGGATCTTTTGACACCAGTGTCAAATTTGAAATTTGACACCTCATCTGAGAATCATTAGATCAAAAAAAAACAATGGCTCTGATTTGTAAGCATGTGACACCATTGATCTTTTTTGATCTAATGGCTCTCAGATGAGGTGTCAAATTTCAAATTTGACACTAGTGTCAAAGGATCTTAACTCTATATATATATATAGAGGAAGGATATTATTACTACTAAATTTTTTTACAACCAACTCACTACCTATCTAATCACCTTTGGATCAACTTTTTCTTTTTTTTAAAAAACTTTTTAGCATTCTCTCTCTTTGATCCAATGGTGATTAGATAGGTAGTAAGTTGGTAGTAGAAAATTTTGGTAGTAAGAATATCCTTCCTCATATATATATATAAAAGTATGTGTCATATGTAAAGTTGTGTCATTTTAAGAGAGAGGAAGAGATAGATAAAGGAGGAGAGAGAGTTGACAAAAAAAATAAAGATGTAGGTCCCACCTCTTTGTGAGAGTGAAAGAATATAAGTTGTATCATTTAAAAGGGTAAACATTTTTCCCATATATATATATATATATATATATATCATTCCTTTCTTCATCTTCATATGTGAACCTACAAAGCACAGACACGCTTTGTTTTTTAAATTGTGCGTGTCAGACACGTGTCTGGCACGGACACGCGGTCAACATTTTGGAACATATGGTCAACTCTCTGACACGCTTCGACACGTTAATCTGACACGCTTTCAAACTTTTTTCGACACGTGGTCAACGCTCGGACACGTTTTTTTTTGTTAACTAAAAATAAAAAAATCTTTTATAAATCAATTTTTTTCTGTTATGAAATTTGACATGAAAAATTAACAAGGTACGAAAAATTATTTTTGTTTATATTTATGTTATGAAATTTGAATATTTGATTGGATATATGACTTATTATGGACTATTATATCTATTAAATATAAATTATATTATATATATTAAAAATATTATTTAATATCAAAACGTGTCCCAACGTGTCAAAATATGTCATTTTTTAGAATTAACGTGTCGTGTCGTCGTGTCATGTCCCGTGTCAATGTCCGTGCATCATAGATGTGAACATCCAAACATACATACTATGGTGTGGATGAGCCTTAGTGGCTGAGCTAACGAAAGCGTATATGATTGAAGGCCCCATTCAACGTAAAATGCAAGTTTCACTTTTTCAGCAAAGCCCATGTCTGGGGTTTGGTGGATCTTATCATTATATTCACGCCGTAGATGTTTTCTTTCGGAGGACACTTCTGTGCAATGTAATGGGACTGGTGAGTGTCACTTGCAATCATCTCCCTTTATCGTTGGCGATCCTTGAAATCCAAGAGGTTGATCATTAAAACAATTGATCAATAATGCTACACTTAAAGAAGTAGAATACAATCCATTCTTTTATCAAAGCATATGAATATTCAAATAGCAATTTTTCCATTGCAAATTTGCAAGTGAAAAAAAAAAGTATTGGTTTTAAACCCCATCATCCTAATCCAAAGTAAATCAATTTTCACCGAGCAATATCAAAACCAAAATATTAGTTCTATTATTAACTTTACCAACAAAACAAAAATATTTTATTGAAACACACAACACACAACTAGTATAAGATTTATTTTTTTGATAAAAAATAATGTTTATAGATAGTGCTCGTAAAACTAACTGATGTGTAAAATAAAAGCATGTATATTGCTGATAAGTCACTATATTTAGTTTTTTCTCTCTCTTAATTTGTGATTTTTAATATGTAGGTGAATGACAAATACCAGTTATACTAATCACTTGGGATCAAACTAAAAGTAACATTAGCTTTATAAATCTCCTAGTCTAAGGAAGATGCTTTCCTTTGAGGGAAGTAAGGAAGTAAATTAGTCAATGGCCTAGACATCACCTTACCACAATATTAAAAAGGAAGAAGATAATATTCGAGAAAAAAAATTACATGTAGAGAATAATCTCTTAATTACATATGTGTAACCTATCTTAAAATTCAATGGCTAGACATCACCTTACCACAATATTAAAAAAAAAGACAATATTCGAGGAAAAAACTACATATAGAGAATAATCTCTTAATTACATGTGTATAACCTATCTTAAAATAAAATAGTATTAGATGATTCAGTCGGGGAGAACGATTGAGGATTCCGTGGGAGATTTTTGCCATAACAATCTTGTTTTGGTCCCAATTCGATTTTTTTTGGGTTTCCAAAGAAGAATATTATACTATACTTTTTGAAATTGCAAATTTTATGTAAAATATTACATACTGGGTGATACAATTGCAAACTTAAAAAAAAAGTATATTATTCAATAAATTTAAAATTTTAAAAAATAATAGGATATTTCTTCTTAAAAAAGAGAGTAGTACCGTAGTATTTCCTGTTATTTGAAGATTTTAGACGTCTCAATCATCTGACTAGAATAACCAGACAGGCTCATCTTCAAACATATGTACAGTAAATTAAATTCGGTATAACAAAGTAGAGTCCAAAGCAAAGCAAATTAGATGAATTCTTCATTCCCAATGAAGAAAGACATATATTCTTGTCTTCAACTTTAAAACCCGTCGGATCAACCCGCCTAACTCACGGGGTGAGTTATGATTTACAATTTGTCGATATGTGTAAGTAGAACCGACAATATAGATTGAATATGACGGGTTAATCCGTTAAAATGGAGTGTTAGATTACATATTTCAACCACCAACTCACTTTTTTATTGGCGGCGAATTGGGGTGAGTTGGCCCGACAGATTTTTTTTTTTATTAGGTAATATTTTATTTGGTTTTAATTTTTTGTGATATTTAATTTTTTATTATCTTAATACTCTCTAGAAAAAATAAAGAAGAAAAATTTTATTTATGACAAAAGTAATCTATATATAAAGATAAAAATAAGTTTGTAAAGAATGTCTGACTGAATATTAGTATACATTTAAACTTAAAATTGAATTTTTTTTAAGAAAAACGTGATATGAAAATAAGTTATATTTTATTAATAAAATATAACTTATTTTTAATTTTTAATTTTTTTTTTATTTTTTAGACGGATTGACCTGCCAACCCACCATAAAACGGGACGAGTTGGAATTTTCAACCTATATTCAAGAGACGAGTCGGGGCGGACCAACTCACTTTTTACAGGTTGACGGTAGATCGGGACAGATCAACCCATTTTTTCACTCCTATATGTGACTCGTTGAACCTGTCACGAGACAGATTGGCCCATATAATCCATTTTTTTTTAAATACATAACATGATTGATTTACTATACTTGTCATTCATGATAATAACATGTCTTCTAATGTGGTACTCTATGTTGCACCGACACCGACACGAGATACGATACGACACGACACTCCGACACGTTAATTTTAGAAAATGTTAAATTTTGATACGTTAGGACACGTTTTGATATTATATAATAATTTTAATTTATGTAGTGTATATTATATTTAATATTAAATAATTTAACAAAAAATAAACTAAACTTATAATACCCATCAATTTTGCAAAGAAACATAAGATATCCCAACTGTTTATATTAAATTCAATAAAATAGTAATCGTAATCTAACGAATCTAATAGTTAGAACTCAAAATGTAATGTAACGTAACCTTTGAACTTTTTTTGAGTCTTTGCAACGAGTGTTGGAGTGTTGAAATGTCAGTGAGTATCGAAAAGTGTCGGATACGACACGTCAAATTTTTTGAAGTGTCGGTGCTTTATAGATGGTACCCGCCTCAATAATTAATCCGCTGCTACATTTCTTAAAATTTTTCGGTTTTTCTTTTGTTGTTTCCATTTTTCTATTATGATTTGCTTCTCATTGCCATTTAGGCGGGTTGACGGAGCAGGTTGACAATTTTGAAAGTAAGTTAAATTTTTTAACCTACTTTTAAAAGTGAAACAAGCCAAATTGACATGTACTTAGACGGGTTGATGACAGGTTGCCCGCCACCTTAGAGCTCAAATAAAATGAATTTATTATTAACTTAATTTAAAATATATCATCAACTTATTAAAATTTAAGAATAAAGACATTTTTAATTACTCACCTCACTCAAATTTGCTTTAAAATAGCTTTCTCCATACTTACTAATACCACTATCTGAAGTTCTAAGCTTTTTCTAATCCCATCTCGCATTTTCATCCTACATAACTAGTATAAACGAAGATTAACTAGTTTCAACATGTTACCCATTTCGTTTAGTAGATAAACTCGAAAATACTTGAAGCAGGTTTCAACTTGGCATCAAAACTTTATGTTGTGGATTCGATTCGATTCGATTCGTCCTCACTCTTTCTCTTGTAAAATTTCTTGACACAAGTAAATTAGACCTAATGTATCATCCACCTTTTAAGTTCAATGAACTATCGTAAGAGGAAGCGTGTTTTGAGTATAATATAAACTATTAAAAAAGACCTCATCTAAATATCTAACAACTTAAGTTTTTAGATTAAATTAATTTAAATTGATTATTTATATAGTACCAGAGCTACTTAGCTGACATTTTTCCATAAAGTATGCCTTTAGCTAGACAAAAATGAATGACACACGCAATGAATTCTCTCATATTTTGTTTTAGGGAAAAAGAAGAATAATGTTGTAGAAAAATTGTTAGGTTATGTTGCAGAGATAGAAATTGTGAGACCCACACTTATTTTCAAAAATCAAAAAAACAAAACAGGTATGGGTCCCACAATCTCTGTCTCTACATAACTTAACAACTTTCCTCCAAGATTATATTTCTATTTCCCTTTGTTTTAACATAGATATGGTCATGTAAAAAACCTCAATCTATGTTATCAAAAAAAAAAAAAACCTCAATCATTAATTGACAAATTAACAGTAATAAATAATTTTAATGATAAAATTCGTAAAATGAAGAAAAAGAAATTATCATTTTAATTGATAATCAATTGTTGATCTATAAGTAAATGACTGAAATTTCTAAAACATAATATTATCACGTTAGACACCTAGCGCGCGAGAATTATTTCCCGAAAGATATCTGCCAGCTGAAGCCACCCATTTACTACAAAACTGTTAGACACGGACAACTTATCAAGCATAATTGACTCACTCCTTGAAAAAGAATGATTGGTACCATTATGGAACACTCAAACTAAAATGATTTAGCTAAAAACACCTTGAATCCAGGTAATTAATCTCCCTTGTACAGTTAGAAATTCACATAAAATAGCCACTCTAAACACTTCTTAATGGGCAAACTCCTTTGCAGACACGTCATCGAAATGGAAGAACTACGTTCTATTAATTTATAGTCTGCACTCTGCAGCCCTAAATTATATTTCAACTTTCAAGTGCTAAAAAAGAGTATCAGTATTTCTAGTAGATCTACCAGAAAACAACTAAGCATAAAAAAATAAAAAATAAAAAAACACACACACACGCGAACATTTAACATGTCAATAATGAGGAGCTATGATTAACAAGTAAAAAGGCCACACACCCATAAGTCATGCTTTGCTAAGCTCTAAGTTGCTCTTTTGGTAAATAAGTGGAGTCTGAGCATAGCTCTTCATGAGTTACTCACAGGCAATTCAGAGGGTGCTCTATTCAAGTGCATACTCAACTAGCTCTAGACATCAATTCTCCCAAGTCAATAATGAGGAGCTATGATTAACAAGTAAAAAGGCCACACACCCATAAGTCATGCTTTGCTAAGCTCTAAGTTGCTCTTTTGGTAAATAAGTGGAGTCTGAGCATAGCTCTTCATGAGTTATTCACAGGCAATTCAGAGGGTGCTCTATTCAAGTGCATACTCAACTAGCTCTAGACATCAATTCTCCCAAGTCACCAACAAAAGAAGCCAAGTTGCATAATAAGAAAAGATCAAAACCTTGTACATCAAAACTAAACCAATGAACAATATGAATTACGACAAGAAGGTTTTCATCAAAGGAGAACATAGAAAGAAACTGCAAGACATTCTATTACAGAATACAGAACATGATGTAGTTGCACACTAATGATAAATGTCAAGGAAAGCAACCATAACATATGACTATGAAAAGTTCGGCTCAAGCAAGAAACTAATCAATGAATTGAGAAATGTACAGCGCTTGTCCTCGAGCAGAAAATCCAAAGAAGAATGATCAATAAAAGAAAATCTCAGTAATAATTGAGTGTACAATTCTCAAAGCTTGAATGAACAAGATCAAAGCTTTTTCTATCTCGCAGAATTCATCATCAGCATTAACACGAAAAAGAAAATGAAAAAGAAAAAAAGAAGCTAAACTTACAGGCAGTATTCCATTATGGGCACTTCTCTAACAGTAGAGGGTTTAAGGGAGAAAACAAAGGGTAAAGAGGAAAGAAAAAAGGGATAAATTGAGGAACCTGAACCACAAATACAGTAGCGAATTCACTGGACAACCTGATATTTGTGATGCAGAGGTATACAAAGAAGGCCAGCCAAATTCCCATGAACACATACTTCAAAGCTCAAATTCTTCATCCCTGAGAGCCATTTCCGCTGCCTCTTCTTCCTCCTCATCAAGGACAAAGTACTCATTCTTCTCCACAGGTCTAAACATGTAGAACATCACAATGTAAAATGCAAGACTAGCAGTCTCCTCAGCGGCATTACTCACCCATTGGTACTTATAAGCAGCAATAGTTCTCAAAGCAAACACCACTATTCGAGTAAAATAAAGATACCCAATAACAACAATGTAAAATTGCCTGAAAAGTGTCAACTTTGCAAGGTTCCTAGAAGCCTTGCCATCGGTCTTGGAGGTTTCTCTAAGCGATCTTATAGACCAAACAATGGGGAAAATAATAGCACAACAACAGATAATATCAACGAGCAAGAAAACCTGATTCCAAGTAACCCAATCCTTGATAAAAGGCCCAGTCTCACCAATCACAACAGAAGCCAAATTAGCCAGAACCTGAAGCGGGATCACAATCATCAACACCTTCTTCTCCCTATCCTGCAAGAAGGGCTTGAGAAAAGACCAACCGGTGCCAATCAAAACAATAACGGTGAAGAGCAGAACAACACGAATGAACTGAAAAATATAGAACAACACATCCCAACCATGTGGGAGACCGGTGACCTTCACATAGTGTTTATCCTCAGCGGCGCAGATCAGATTCAAAGCCTTCATCAATAGCAACCCAGCCATCAAGAAATGAATGCGGTGAACGGATCGCTTGTTGGCGTAACAGAGGTACACCCACAAGCCGAAGAAAGCGAGGTACGCGATAAAGAAGAGGAAGAACAGTGACGGAAGCTGGGTCTGGCCGGCGGAGAGATAATCCCTGGAACCGTCGGAATCGAGGTTGAAGACCTCAGTGCGAACCACCATGGAGACGGCGGTTTCAGGGGCGCAGTTAGCGAAGAAGAGGCTGTACTCGTTGGGGGATGTGACCGGGTAAGAACGGTTAACGGAGGCCAACGGAGGCGGAGAGAGGTCGCGGAAGGTGAAGAGTTTGAAGATGTAGTGAGATTCAAGGACGCAGAATGAAGGGTTTTGCTGGATCTCCATTAGCACTTGAAGAAGCGTTTCTTCGTTCAGAAGGAAGAACCCTAGCCGAGAGGATTCCGGTTCAACCCCTGACGCTAGAACTGCAACCGAAACCGACGACACGGAGATCGACACGTGGCCCTTGTGGTTGAACCCGAACTTCTCGAACAGGATCATGGGTCGGCTATCGGAGTTTATGGTAAGGGATTTTATCTCAGCGGTGGAGGTGGACAGGAATGTAAATAGGAAGAGGACCACGACGGCGAAGGATCTTGTCGTTTTGGCCATGGCCATTGCCATTGAAGAACGATGATTCTATGATTCAGAATGTGAAAGAGAATTGGTGAGCGAAGAAGAAAGAAAGGGGGAAATAACAGATCTGAACTGAACGCGTTGGGGTCACCAGACGACGACGTAGCACCTACGCAAAAGTATATCATTTTCACTGGGCCTCCAACTATACAACACGTTTTGATAGTAATAGGATTCGTAATGTTAAATTATTTCAAGCCCAGCATGGCCCTTTAGATCTTCCAGCCCAATATTCACTTGCTTTGTTTGTTGAGAGTTTGGGATCTTGAAGAGTTTAACTTTTTTTCTCTCTCTCTTTCAATTATCCCTTTCTCTGTTTGGATAAATAAATATGAACTAATTATACGTTGAAAAGAAAAGTCAATTAAAATTATTTAAACGTCATAATTTTGTCAAATAAATATGGGATAAGATATACTTATTATTAATTAAGTTTATTATTTCTTACTATTAATTTTAATCGTTGATTTCAGTCAATCTGACAGTTATAATTTATTAAAATTAAAAGTTAATTAATAAGAGTCATCGAATAAATTATAATTATTAGATTGATGGAAATCAGTGATTAAGATTTGAAGATAAGAAATAATAAACTTAATAAATAATAAGTGGATTCCTCCGCGATAAATATATCTAAACATAAGTACTTTTTAGTATGATAAACATAAGTACTTTATTTTGACAAGTATTTAACTAAAATTAATTTTAGTAAATTAAAATGTTTTAAGATTACATTTGTAAATGTTTACTCAAACAGAGTCTTAATAAATTTATTATTTTTTTTTTGGTTCGTTCAAAGGCGGCATAAAATGAAACCTGAGAATTAGATAGAGAGATAGAATCTAATCATAGCTAAGCTTCATTGCAACTAAAGAGCATTCGTAATTTATTAATAGACATCTTTACTGATGACTTACTTATTTAACACAGATGGGAGACAATCAGGGCGGATGAAATTATATGATCTTGGGCAAAATTTAATAAAAATCCAACTTATAGGATTTTAGATAAAATATAATTTAACAAGTATACTGAATTGACGAATTCAACATAGATTGATTTATTATTACTATGTCAACAATGGAAACAATCACAATCTAAAATTATCAGCAGTCTCGACAGATACACTCGTTAAATAATTTTAATAACAAATATAATCACAGAATCAAAACAAATCTAAAAAGAGAAGAAAAAAACTCATAGAACACCTAAAACTAACATCATAAACCTTCATAATACCCACATCACTATATATAGACCCATCTACTTTAATTATAAAGCATCATAAAGCTAAACAAAAAAATCCCATAAATTATAGTAAACTATAATTATTTTATATCCATTTTTCATAAAACTATCCAAAAACTACAAAGAGAAAAAATACTCACAGCAGGGAAACATGTATTATGCTTCTTCCTCCGCATATCAAATGAAGCAAAAGAATGAGACCCAAAAAATAAAATCGCTTCTTCCTCCGCATATCAAATGAAGCAAAAGAATGAGACCCAGAAAATAAAATCGAACATTTTGAAAAAAAACACTGCACTGATCGTCAACAAGATAAAAACACATAGTGCCCAGCTTTGTTAAAGTAACCCACCACCAGTCATGAAAAATATAAATATATTATGTATTTTTGGGGTCCTAACCCGGTGTAAGTCCGCCCCTGTAGACAAAGAATCCTTGTTTCAGTCATTGACCAAACTAGCGACATTTCCAATGATATCTTTTGCCACGTGTTATATAAAAAAAGAAGAAGTTAAATAGAAGAAGTAAGTGATATCATATAAACAATATCAAAAATAAAACACGGTAACGTAGTTACATTGCAGGGGAGGGGTATTTTATATTTTGGTAATAATTCATGACTACCTATGGCTATATTTTAAAATGCAAATTGAAAAATCAGGACAATATGAACGACAGGTTCATGGTTCATGGTTGGTTGGAGTAGGAGGGATATTAGTAGCAGTTACACTTCACTGCTATAGGGAGGATTTAGTTGTAGATTTAATTTTAATATTTTACTCTGTTTTATTTAATTAATTATGAGTTGTTATATTATTTAATAAATGTAAGATTTTTATAAGTTGTTATCATTTAATTTAGTTATGAGTTGCCATGTTATTTAATAATGTTGATATTTTTAAATTATCAAATTTATTAAATATCATGGACATACACAATTAAATGATATTGCGATTTTTTTTTACATTAGTTATACATTTAAAAAAAATATTTAATTCTATATATAACCAATGTTTCTTAGCCTCAGGTTTTCAGCTTCATGTTTTTGTGTAGTTAAATCTTTGTTTGGTGCGCGGTTCTTTTTGTGCTTGTGCTACGTATGAGAATGTGGAGTGAAGTATAAAATGAGAGTTCGAGATTTATTTTTAAATTTATTATAAAAATGGTACTAAGTAATGATATTTCTACAATAAAATTATGTTCATAAAAAACCATTTATTCAAGTATAAAAAAATTATTTTCCTCGATAAAAAATATCGAGTTTGAGTTATAAGAATAAAAGGATTAATATTAAAAGAGACGTTTCCTCTATTGAATTTAACCGAACTGGAAGTGAATTAATTGAATAATCAACGAATCGATGTATATAGAAAAAAAAATTCGTTCACGCAAAACACGTGATTACAGAGTCGTAGACCTAATTTATTGATCATGATTCAATTGTCATATATGATCTGCCAAACAAATACGCAGAAAGGAACACAATTTCACGCAAGGAGCAAGACTTCCTTGTCCCTTTTTTTTTTTTTAAAAGACACTTAAACCCTAACGATTTTATTTTTCGGACCATTAATGAGTATTGATGTTAAGAAGACATCAACATTTCACTAAACTGGAAATTAATATTCGTAAAAAAAAAAAACAATATAGTATGTAAATTAATAATTTTCATCTATTTTATTTTCATTTATATTTGTCATATCTCAATGTTTCCCACATAACCTGAATTGTTCATCAATTAGGCAAAATGATACCTTAAATCGTTTCTACTATTATTCTTTGGATTTAATATTTCTGCTTTTGTTATTGAAAAAATTTATCTGCTACATTTATATAAATATTTTTCCCTTGTTCTTTTTATAAAGCTATACAATAGAATAATATCCCTAATAAGAAGTCAATGGACTGTTTGGTACAAGTTTTTTGAATGAAATGATGGAGAAATGGGGTGGAGGAAATAAAATTATCATGTTTGGTATAAGAAAAAGTAAAATAATATAGGGATATTTTTTTCCCATGAATCCTTTTTTCTACTATACATTCCTAAAAAACTTTCCTCTTCTACCTATGGTATTCTTTTTCTCCGAGCAAGAGGCAAAAACATTTTAACACTTATCAGACTAAAATGCCCTTAACAATATTCAAATGATGGGTATTTTGGTCATTTTAATTCAGATTCCTATCAATATTTTACCATCAACCAAACTTAACGTTAGTAAAATTAACTTAACTTTTTCGATAAAATTTTGGCATACCAAATACTTTTTCATAATTTATTTGGATAAAAATGTTTCTCACTATATTATTGGAAATCTTTTTTTCTTGATAAAAAAAATATATCTTATACCAAATACTCCCCGTAAAATTTAATGCCATGTTTCTACTTATAGTTCATTCTTACGAATAATCATGCCTTAGCATGAGAATTTTAAACACACAAAAACAAAAAACATTGAAATCGTCAAGCTATCTTTATTTTCTCTTGGGTACGAAATTGCTCAAGCGTATGTCATTCAAAACTTAGCAACGAATACTCTGGAAAAGAAAATAAGAATAAAATTAGCAACAAATGCAAGCAATCAATAAAATTAGCAAATACTCTGAAAGAGAAAAGAAGAATAAATAATAATAAATAAATAAAAGATTAAAGGCTACTTTGGTCATTCTGAGAAAACTGACTCTGGTTATTTATTTATTTTTTTGAAACTGAAGAGGGGAGCCACGACGCGGTAACATTGAACACATCACGGCAACTAAAGTGAAATGACCAAGAAGCCCTTATACGGTTCGTTTTCTGGGATTGGGAATACCTATTTATTTAATGTTGGTTCGTGGTCTTTGTTCTAACACATGATTTTCTCAGTTTATTCACCCCTTCAGAAAAATAAAAATAAAAATCTAAACTTGGAAGCTCCCAAGAAAAATTGAACGACGAAGGAGGAGAAAGAGAATCAAACAGCATCTATAGCAGTGCAAGAATCTCAAGAAACCTCATTGCAGAAAGAACCGCAATCGCCCTCAATTTTCTTTGAGCTACCAGATTGGTGTTCTTTCTGAATCTGTAAGTTTCGCCGCCTTTTCTTCTTCTTCTTATTCTTCTTCTTCTAGTGTCAAGTTTTGTTATTTTCTTTTTAGTTTCAAACATTAAATTTTTGTAAATGAAATATGAGTTGGTTTAAATGCATTACCTTAATGATCATTTGGTTTGTTAAATATGTTTCTTTCTTTTTTTCTTTTTTGGTTACCTCTCCTTTGAGTGCCATGCAGTGCTGTAATTGAACAAGAATTCGTAATAGCGGGAAAGAAACCAAGAAACTCAGATGATCTTGTGTCAAGTTGGTTGGAGAATAATTTATGGATATCTTTGGAACATGTTTTGATTGAAAGCAGGGTCAGACTCAACAAACTTTGAGTTCTGATTTTTGGGCCTCCCAAAATTCTAGAGCTTGCGATCATTGGCTACTGAAAGAATGAATGTAGTTGGCAGAGTACGAAGCTTGATAACCCAAGGTGTCTATTCAGTTGCTACCCCTTTTCACCCTTTTGGTGGGGCTGTTGATGTCATTGTTGTTCAGCAGCAAGATGGGACCTTTAGGAGCACGCCTTGGTATGTTCGGTTTGGTAAATTTCAGGGTGTTCTCAAAGGTGCTGAGAAGATTGTTCGGATAAATGTCAATGGGGTTGAAGCAAACTTCCATATGTATCTTGACAATTCAGGGGAGGCTTATTTTATAAAGGAGGTGGATGATGATGATAAAGGGGTCAAGTTAAATGGGGCTGCTGAAGCTACTAATAACTCTGAATTAACTCAAGAAGACAGTAGTGTCGAAATTAGTGACAAAGATAATAGTTATTTGAGTATGGATGATACTCGTGCTTGTAGACTTGACCATAGCATATCTGATCCAGGAGTGCTTCAGTTGGCAGGTGAAGGCCATTCCTCAGTGTTGCCACAATTTCAGAGGGCCGAATCTGATGTTAATAGGAGGTTTTATGATTTCCAAGATCCGCAATCCTCTTATGAAGGTTCAGTTGAGTTGTCAGAATATGGGTCTAGTCGATATGAGAATCTAGATGGAGAGAATTTTGTGGACTCACAGGGTTCCCATCCAGAGGTGGTCTTGGTTAGTGTCGATGGTCATATATTGACGGCCCCCATCTCAGAATCAGAGCAGAATGAGGATAATGTTCAGTTAAAAACTCCTCAATTTCATCTGGGCCCAGGTGAAGGGACTGACTTCTATGAAGGCAATGAGGAGTTTAGTTCTGATGAAAGTGTTTGGGCTGCTGATTATGTTAGTCAGCTGGATGCTTCAATAGCTGATGTTCTGTCCAGTAGTTATAACACTAACGTTGGTGATAATACTTCTGGGCTCCTGCGGGAAGTTTGCCAAAGAGAGGAGGGACATATTTGTCAGACAGAAGAAACCTTGGTGATTAAAAATCAAGAAGGTCTTCATTTGCAAATTGAATCAGAAGAGGTTGCATCTTGTATGAAGAGGGAGAATGTCTTCAAAAGTTGTTTGGATTTACACGAACTTGATCAGCAGGCTGAAAATTCTAATTTACAAGATGTAGGTACCTCATCGGAGGTTGAAAATTCAGCCGAGGAATGTAATGCAAATTGTTCAGTTGTTGATGAAAATGAACAAGAGAACATCAAACAATCTAGAAACATTGATGAGTTATCTCCCCTTAACGGGCCCACTGCTTTGGATGACCATACTTCTCCAAAATTAGAATTAGGACTTCAAGAGGTTGGTAAAGATGCATCAGGGGAAGTTGACACTGGTTCTGGCAATCATTCTGGTACTACTGATATTGATTGGAATGATGAACATATTGGCAAATCAGTATCAAATGAAGGAGTAGATGATAGCGAAGAAATCCCTGCACTTGAAGATGCTAGTAAGGAAGATGGGGTAGTTGAACCTCAGAGCGCAACTTCCAGTGAGGGGGACCAAAGTCATTCTGGTTTGAGTAAGGACTAAGAACTGTGTCTCGAATTAGTTTCTCTTTTATTATGCAATAATTGTTTGACATTAGTGAATTATTTTTTTACTTTATTTCTGCTTAAAATGTGCAGGATTTGATGTCTCACTTTGTGGTCATGCACTTAAGGCGGGTATCGGTTTGGTTGCTGCTGCTGAAGTGTTTGAAGCACATCGTATATCTGCAGAGGAATTCAGAAGTTCAGCAGCATCCATAATTAAGAATGAAAATCTTGTTGTGAAGTTCAGAGAGAGGTATCTGCTGTGGGAAAAAGCCGCTCCCCTTGTTCTTGGCATGGCTGTGTTTGGTTTAGACTTACCTATTGAGCCCAAAGATACAATTCCTGTGGGACAGGATGATGCACTGAAGTCCAGTGATGATGATCCTGGACCAGCTTCATCTGGACGTAAGTGGAGACTTTGGCCTATTCCTTTTCGAAGAGTCAAGACAATTGAGCACACTAGTAGTAGCACATCAAGTGAGGATGTGTTTGTAGATTCTGAGTCTGACTTGCAAAATTCTGTTGTTGAGCTAACTCCAACATCTGGTAGGCATGAGACTCCTCATAAGCAATTCGTAAGGACAAATGTTCCCTCTAACGAGCTGATAGCGTCCTTGAATCTCAAAGATGGTCAAAATTTGGTAACCTTTAGTTTCTCTACGAGGGTTCTTGGATTACAACAGGTTCGGCATTCATCGAGAATCAAAATTCCCATATGAGCATGACCATGTATACCATGGTTGGGTGTTTTGCTTATTTTAGTCTGAAATTTAAATCACGTAACAGGTTGATGCTCATATATACTTATGGAAGTGGAATGCAAAAATTGTAATTTCAGACGTGGATGGAACTATTACCAAGTAAGACTATTAACAATGTTTTTTTAAATTTGACATAGATACTATTTCGTTATGTTTCTTTACCATATCTCTGTTCCCTTCTTCCCCACTTAATTGGACATTTATTTTATGATGAAATCCCAGTTTGGACCTATCATGCAATTTTTGGTCATTGTTGATACTCCTGAAACTTTTACTACACGAAGGAAAATAGGAAAGGGGATGCAGGTTCTGGCATATGGTTTAGGGTTAGGCCTTGAGTAATCTTATTGTGCATTAAAATATTTTCTATACCGATAGTCAGAGTGGGATGAACCTAAGCATCTATTAGCTTGGGTGCAAACAATATAACATTTTCATGGTAATTATGGTAGTCAAAGTTGAGATCCTTCCTAGAAATGAAAGGGGAGGGAAAAATGTGTGATTGTAACACAAATCTGGTGTTCAGAGTCCAGTGAGTGTGGGTCTTCAAATTTGGGTTTTTTGCAGCATGGTGGGATCATCCATGATCTTACAATCTTACTTGATGATCCTACCAAAACGAGTTTCTGAGCGGGAATCGCTGGTGGGGGTAAAAATCCTAAAATCATGATTATGAATACCATGTGGTGATCCTTTGTCTAAATCTTGAGAAGAATTGTATCTTCGTTTTTTTGGCTGATTTTGGCAATGATTAACTAACTTCTCTGGGTAGTTAATTTTTTATTTTTTTATTTTTATAAGAGTGTTCTGTATCATATGTAGATAGTGTTGGATAAGAAAAAGTTGTCCTAACTTGATTACATTTGCTGTTGACTAGATTCTAGGTGGACATGTCTAAATGAAAGTTGAGCCAAAACAAGAAAAATAAACTGCCGTTAGGAATAGGGGTTATAGTTGCATTATGATTTCAGAATCACTATCAACACCTTAGTATTTAGCATTGTTGGATAATAAAAAGATGTCCTAACGTGATTACATTTGCTGTTATGACTAAATTCTAGATGGACATGTCTTAATGAATGTTGAGCTAAAAGAAGAAAAAAAAATGCAGTAGGAATAGAGGTCAGAGTTGCATTATGATTTCAGAATCACTATCAGCACCTTAATATTTTGTATTTTGTTGTTTTCTTCCTTTCAGGTCTGATGTTTTGGGGCAGTTCATGCCTTTAGTTGGCAAAGATTGGTCACAATCTGGAGTGGCAAGGCTTTTCTCAGCTATTAAGGTATGTATAGTTTCTTTTACATTCACGTCTAAATTTATGTCAATTGAGATGGAGTAGGATTATTAATGTCAAAATCTGATGAGGTAGATGGCAACAGATCTTCCGCATCTTGTATAGTGCAATAGTAATCAAATTTCTGCTTTGTTGTTTCTGAAATTTCATTATGTTCTGTTACTACCAACTGTCCCTTAACTTACCTGTTCACATGATTCTCAAATTTGGGGTTTGAATTTTTGATGAGGGACTTTTGACTTTTGAGACGAGGAAAAGAAAATTCAGTTACCAAGTAACTTCTTTTTACTTATTGGGTATTCTATTTTAAGGATGAGATGAACTGCAGACTAGAAGTGCCTATTCCATCCAGATCAATTTTAGCGAACACTTTCTTGGGGAGATCTTATGCAAATATATATGTGAACATAAACAGGTTTACTATGAAGCAACCTTTGATCTAGGACTTGAGATTGCTCAGCTAGTAAGCCTAGTGAGATAATGGCTCTTCTGCAGCCATATAACTGAAATGTTATAGACAATGTCCATAGGCCTTTTTCATGACTATCAACATTTACATTTTTTTTTCTTGTTTCACTTGCACGCTTAATAAACATTATTATATTTCGATTTAGTACTAGATTTCTGCTTACATTAGATTTGAGTGGAACGTCAATGTGGATACATCTAACGGTTATCTATGGAACTTTTTCTGTCTGTCCAATGCAAAATGAAGCCTAGCATGCTTGATGCTATCATGATATGTATTGTTTCGTTGAATTTTTTCTCAAAAGATTAATGTCTAATACTAGATCACGATCTTATGTCAGGAAAACGGATACCAGCTACTGTTTTTGAGTGCCCGTGCTATTGTCCAGGCTTATCTTACCAGAAACTTTTTGTTTAACCTGAAACAGGTATTGAAACAACCTGGCTTTCTGTGATAACAATTTATTTTCTATATTAGGATTATTCTGTTTCTAAAGTAGAGTCAGCCAGGAATTAATCTATGAGATTTTATTTGTGAAAAGTTTAACATTAAAAACCAAATCTGTGTAGGTATGGGGCATCAACATTAATCATCCTTCTAAGCTAGAAGGATCTTGATGTCACTTCATTTTATTAATTGTCTGCTTGCCCTTTGGATGCTTGATTAACTCTTTGTTTTGCTAACCTTTTTTTTCATATAGCCTTGCTTCTTGACAGCCCAGTTGTAAGTATAATAATACCGCCTTAGCTGATACTATAAGTTCGTATATTTGCAGGATGGAAAAACCTTGCCAAATGGACCTGTTGTTATTTCACCTGATGGATTGTTTCCCTCACTTTACCGAGAAGGTGAGGTACTTTTAATGTGAGATTAATTAAGGTTGAGTTGGTATTGCAATTTTAATTTATATAGCCACTTGGGAGCCATGTGATGACGATAATAACTTTCTGCTGATTCACTTATGCTTGATGTTTGACGACTCTATCTTTATGAAGACTTGTATACTGTTGTCGTATCACCAAAGTGAACTAGATAATAAATAGGGTGTGATGCATAAAACATGGTATCTGTTGTGCTTGTGGGACATACAAATGATCTAAATGCATGGATTTTAGCAAAATAAACTATTGTCTGACTACTTCAAGACTGATAAACTCCTTGATCATTAAGGGCTCTGATCGACTTAAGTGACTGCTCATATCTTGGGCTTTATCATTGATTTATGAATTATGATAATGTTAGAGAATACTATAAATCATTAAAAAGCCGTCACCCATAAGCTTAAGCTTTTGGGTTAAATTGGTTCTTTACATGGTATCAGAGTCTCGATGTTACGGGTTCGATCCTCACCGCCCCTCACTTTCTCTTGTGGAATTTTCTTAACATAGGTAGGTGAGCCTGTGCATTGTCCACCCTTCAAGCCCAATGGGCTTTCATGAGAGGGACGTGTTAGAGAATACTATAAATCATTAAAAAGCCCTCACCCATCAGCTTAAGCTTTTGGGTTGAATTGGTTCTTTACAGATAATATTCGCAATCTTAGCAAACTTTCTTTGGTTTATCACTCGCAAAAAATATCAACAACATGCATATTCTTTCTTGTTGAGTCATTGAGTATAATTATCTAGGCTCTTGATCTGTGCTGGTAGATGTTATAATCAGTTTTTTATTAGAAAACAAATATTATGATAAGGTATTAGTTTATATGTTTATGATGGCCTGTCCTGGTTTTTAGTATACATATCTGACTTTATTATGTTTGGATCCTTTGATGAAGTAATAAGAAGAGCACCTCATGAGTTCAAGATTGCTTGTCTAGAGGTAATTACCAAAAAACAAGTCCTTATCACTAATGTAATTTGGAAGTGCCAGTAATAGACATTTTCCCACTGAATAACATCATACATGTTCTGATAATAATTTGCAGGATATCAAAAGACTTTTCCCTTCTGATTATAATCCGTTCTATGCGGGGTTTGGTAATAGAGACACGGATGAACTTAGTTACAGGAAGATAGGAATTCCGAAGGGCAAAATATTTATTATTAACCCTAAGGTGTGCATCTTGGATTGATTGATATTTCTGACAATTAGTATTTTCTGTAGTTCTCACAGGATACTAACTAGATGGTCTTTGAAAACTAACAGGGGGAGGTGGCGATTAGTCATCGTATTGATGCAAAATCTTACACATCATTACACACACTCGTCAATGACATGTTCCCCCCTACTTCTTTGGATGAGCAGGTGAGAAAGCACCTACAAAACGTGTAGATTTTGCTACCTTTGAACTTTACAAGTGACAAATTTGATTTGCATTCTAATTATAGCAGGAAGATTACAACTCATGGAATTATTGGAGAATGCCCTTTCCAGATGTTGATTAGTTCAATGCTTTAAGGTATTTAGTTCCTATTTGACAAGGATCCATTGGTATGGGGTCATCCAAGATGTTAACCGAAATGCTATATGTTCCTACTGCTTGGCACAAAACTCTGTCACCATTGGAAACTATCCTACTATACAGGAATTCATTGATGGTATATAAGTTCTCGTAGAACATTATTCACTGTGATGCTCACTCCCTTACTTTCCTTCTTTTTGATCCTCGTTAATTTTTGATTCATTATAACCCACCAGTCAACAGAATTGTAGAACATTTGGTTTACATGTATTACTAATTTTTTACTGACCACGTCCAGAAAGTTTGTCCATCTCAAAAAACTTTAAATTAAACTTCCAAATCGTTGTTTACTTTTTCAACGAGACCATAATTTTTATTTTTGGGGTGCATACTCACATCACGAGTTATTTTATGGAAATATCATTGTGTTTTTATAACTGGGATTTCAAAATCAATTTAAAAGGTAAGTTATATACAACAAATATATGTCAATCAAACAGGGATTCAAACCTTTACATATGAAGAATGCATGGTTTAGTCAATGAGAAGAAAAAATTTAGTAGTTAAAAGATGCTGACGTGATTGATTCAGTTTAAGCGGAATTAAGTATGTACTACTTGAACTAACTCCCTTTTGTTTGAAGAAAAAGTAATGGATCTAACTAGTGATTTGAAGTAATGGATAATAACAGTATGACTAAGGATTAAATGAATGAAACACATGGATTGTGTCAATTATATTAGCCCCTAATTATGGGCGACACATTTTAGGGATTGAATCTTTCATTTGCAACTTAAGTTGAATGCTTGAACTTAGATTTGTACCAAATGTTGGTTGACCGAGGCTCTCGTTTCTGAAAAAGACCACTCAAAACACGAACAATTTGTATTCTGGAAGTAATTATTAATAGGAAAGGTAAGAATCAAAGTGTGGCTTGAAGTTGTAAAAAAAGGAGAAAAAAAAGAAAAAGTGTAAACCAAAAAATGGCCAAAGTCACCTTAATGAAGCAGAAACACTTAATATATAGTGTCGGTGTGGAAAAAATCTGCAGTTGATAGTTCATTTATTCTAGGAAACGTAGGCGGATTCTGTGCAAAATCTCAGGATCTGCCTACGTATCATAGGATAAATAAACTATTGATGCATTGAACTTCAGTGCATCGATTGCACCAAAGTTTTGTTCGTCTATGTGATGTTCAAGAAGATGTGACTTGGCATGAATGATTATTCTTGTGTGTGTCTGGCGGAATCCTATCTTAAATAGTGATGATACATGATTGTTTCATGAAGAGAACTAGATATTTTATGCATAGCGGAGAATAAGTCACATAAGGGGCCGATACTCTAGTCCCGAACAAGAGATGCATATAACTAAAAACCTTCATTTAAGAGTTAAGACTACACTAGTCTCTATACAGACATTTGCATGTTACTGGATTCCCGTAAAATCTTAGAACTAAGAACATAGAGATTGTCAAAATTAATACAAACTTCTAACATAAAGTTTATGATTTTAATTTTCTACTAGATAATCACAATTTTTAATATGGTTTCACTTATTTAATATTTATAAAGAGAGAGATGAACTCTAAATTTTAACATAATATAAAGTCATGTAAAATATTAATGCGAGGAGATTCATTTGTGTTGAATTATTCACAAGAAGAATATATTTTCACAAGCCACTAGGTTTAGTGTAGTGGTAAGAAATTTAGATAATTTGTATAGGCAATATATTCAATTCTCACTAATATATCCAAAAAAGAATATATTTTCACACAAACAACGACAAATAAATAAATTAGAAACAACGAAAAATATTTTTTTTAGAAATAACACATTTTGCTTACACAAACAACGAGGAATAAATAAATTAGGAATAATACCAATTAGGAAAATATTTTGGCCTAGTATTTATAAAAAGAAATAAACACAAAATTTTCACATAATAAGATAATTTAAAATTGTAACATGACTCACTTTAAATCCTTAATGAATTTGGTGTTCTTCCTTAACTTGGGCATACCTCCTCTAATCTAAATTTCTCGTATACCAAAAAAAATTAACACGAGAAAATTCTTTTGCATGTAATTATTCACAAGCAACTAACAATGCGTTTGATTTGTTAAAAAACGAAGAATTCAATGGAGCAAAAATCTTTGTTTTGTATTTGATTTAAAAAGGTCATGTGGTTAAACAAGTATGCGGTGAAACGCGAGAGAAAAATGGAAACAAAATTTCTCTATTCAGTCGAGACTGTCTTTTAAAGAGATTTTTTTAAAGTGCTCTAGGACCACTATTTCATTGGTGGTTCTTTACCAAAATGGAAAAATATAATTCCATTTAAATTATTTTTTATTTTATTTTTTTATAAAAAATTTCTCCCAATCCCTTCCTTTTTTCATTTTTGGCTGGGATCATGATGCATCGGCTGCACTAAAAATATACGCTCCTCCTAAAGCCATATCTCATCGACGAGTCATTTGATCATTTGTGCAAACCATAAGTATACAGTAATTTTGCTTATACAAATAACAACAAATAAATAAATTAGGAAGACGATAACACCTAAACAAGATATTTAAAAAGATTTCTTTCTCATGTCTATGAAACTACAATTCAAAGCTGTAATTCAAATGACAGAAGAGGAGTAAAGTTACTAACGGGCGTTTGGCAGACAATTTTTTTTTTTATCAGAGAAATACAATTACTAGAAATATGGTGGAAAAATAAATTTAGTAGGAAGGTTAAAAAAGAGTTGTTTGGTAAGTCAAAATATTACTGGAAAAATTAGGTTAAATTTTATGAGTTTATATTTGGTTGAAGGTAAAATATTGATGGGAAAATCAGATAAAATTATCAATTAACCATTGACTAAATACAAAGAAGATTCTCTCTCTTCATCTTTTTTTTGACACACTTTTTTGAGAAGAGGTATTTATGTCCATTACTTTTTTCTTACTTTTTGGTTTGATGGGGTAATGATTCTGAAATGACAATTTTTTTCAATTTTACACATAAATTGAGATTGTTATGCAAATCGAGCAAATTTTGTAAAACCTCCTACCAAATATGGTCAACTAGAAAACTCATTTCAACTTTCTCAATCATCCTAAAAAAAACTTGCTACCAAACACTCCCTAACAAGATTATAATAATAAATTAAAAAGTATTTCATATATATGATAAGCTTTGGCACCATCTTCGATCTTCAGTTAAAAGTATTTTTTTTTTCGGTAAGCAAAGTATTTAGATAAATACATAATTATCACATAATAAAGGTATGCAAAATTTGTTTACCGACAAAAAAAAAAAAAGATATGCAAAATTTTAACATGTAAGGATTCATTTGGTAAAACTATTCACACAAAATGCACAATACATTTGCTCACACAAATAATGAGGAACAAATAAATTTAAATAATAATTGGTAGTAAGAAAAATGATTCCACCTATTTAATATTCATAAAGATAGATAAGCAATTTTTTTTTTACATGATAACATCATATGCGTAAAATTATTCACACTGAGGGTGTATTTGATTTGTTAAAAAAAAAATGAAGGATTAGACCAGATGAAATTCCTTGTTCTTCCGGCTGAAGCAAAAGACCAAATAATCCAACGGTTAATTTTTTGTCCTCACAGCATAAACTATCGGAAAAACAAAAAATATCCTAGACCACCATCAAGCCAACCAGTATAACTTTGTCAAGTCAAAATATCTTTGAAATGGTTAAAAAGAAGTAAAGTTGCTAGGAGGTAATAACTTATAAGTTTCATTTGTTTATAAATAAATAAATTAAAAAATATTTCATCTTTATAATACACTTTGACACCATCTTCACCATTCACTTAAAAAAAATACTATTGCTACTTCCTTTTATAAAGCTTAATTTCTCATAGTAATTTCCAAAACTTATCATGTCAACACATTAAATCTCCATGTGCCTTCTCTCTCTTCTCGCTAGAAAAAAAACATCAAAACAAATGAAATCACTGTTGTGAAAGGATTTGGGCAAATGATGGGGTGCCTTCCTGCAAGGGCTGAAATAGGACATTGCAGATGACATTATGGGTCGTTTCGTTTTTTTTTTTTGGTACATTGCCAGGAGGTATCCCCATTCAACCTTCTCTGGGCACCATGCTCTCGGGGTACGGCCCGTTTGGGCTAGCCCCTCATTGTAACAGTGGGTGCACTAAGCTTCGCAAGTGGAGAAAGGACGGGACTAATCTCCAACCGAAGATTTTGGCTTATCCTCTGGCCCGCAAAGATTTTCCAAGAAACTGCTTGAGGCAGGGTTTGATCCCTGCACCAAGCAATCCCTTGGGAGCTCAGCTGCCAACTGAGCTACCCTTGGGGGTTTGGGTCGTTTCGTTTTTGGTCGGATAATTGGTTGGGATGAGATGGTAATCTCCTAAGCCTCACTAGCCAGAATGTACCTTTACAGGAGGTTAATAAGAGCATAAATAAGTGTGCTATTTCTATTGATGGTGAGTGGAACGTGGAATACCTTGAAAGATATCTAGAGAATGGTATTATCTCAGGGATCATCGATAATCCAGTGCCAAGGAATGGTTAAGGAGAGGATAAGCTAGTGTGGATGAACAACCATGTTTCTCTGTCAATAAGGAGTTGTCCATTGTTAATTGGAAGCGCGTGTATGGGATTAGAAAGGTACATAAAGTATTAAAACCTTCATTTGTGTGATTGTTCTTGATAGACTCCCCACAAGGAGTAGAACTAGTAAATGGTTCTTCTAGTCCATTACTTGTTGCAAATGCATCGTTGAGGTAGAAACTCTGTTACATGTTTTTCGTGATTGCATACATGCTCGCAATATTTGGCTAGATTGCCTTCCAAGCCAATGAATTTTTCATGTTAGATTAATGCGGGATCCATGATTTTTTATGATAAGGGGGCATAAATAAATTTGAAGTTACAAATATTATTAAGACTATAGAATGGGCTAACTATTACAAGTGTTTTTGAGGGGGATAACTATTATATATAGAATATTAAAAAAAATTAAAGTTTAGGGAGGGGCGACCGCCAACCAATGCCCCTCCTTTAGGTCTGCCATTGTGTTGGATGCGTAAATCTAGATTAGACGAAATTTAGAAGGAGGATGGAGTAGGAACACAGAGGATTTACGATATTTCTTTTTCCCTGCATATTGATTTATCTGGGATTGGAGAAATCGATTCGTCTATGAGGAGGAGTTCTATAGTATCCTATG